AAGTTCTCTGAGCTTATCAAAATCTGCCTTTGAATGCCAGAGTGGGGAACCGCCCTGATACACTTCTACTTTTACTTTACTTTTTTAGGCTAACAGAAATGTCTGCTTTGACTCTAGAGGGATCTAGAGGATTAGGAGATCTTGATCCAAAATAACCAATATCAGGTGCAGTTCCAGGTACACTGCATGAGTCGGAGTTTTTAGAGAGGGCCGAGTATTGCTAAAAGGCTCATTTTAAGGTCACTGGGACTGTAGCAATGTGCTAGGGCAGCGGTTCCCACCCACCGTCCACAGATCGGCAGTGGGCCATGGACTGCGCTTGCCGGGCTGCAGCGCACTATCCGGCCACACCCGCTGCCTTGGCCTGGCCCGCTGGAGAACTGAGTGGCGCAGAGGCAGGTGATTCGGGGGCCTGTGCCGGGCCTCCATGTGCATGCAGGCACAAGCAACGCGGGGTGCAGGGAAGGGTTTGTCTCATGCCTCGCAGCCCCAAGGAAGACACCGCCCAACTGCGGCACAGACCGCTCCAGGAGATCCAGAGCAGCAGGCTATCCAGCCATAGAGCACATGCGCAGAACAGAAAGTCTGCCAGTCTTCTAGGCCCCAAAGCTGAGGCATCTCTATGGCCCACAGCTGCAGCTCATGTGGGGAGCTATGAGGCAAGGGGGAGCACTGGTGGGAGCAGCACCTCTGCCTATAGGAGAGGGGTGGCGGATGAGCAAGAGCACCAGCCCCATCTGCGATCCTGATGAGCTTGGGCAGCCATAGCCGCAAGCTGCTCTTCCGCTTCCCCTTCTAGCGGGGCTTGGAGCACCCAGCCACCCAGGCCAGTGAATGACAGAGCAGGGCTGTGTGCCAGGCACCATAGTTCTCTCTAAGCTGTGCGCTTGTGAAGGAAAGGAAATTTCTACCCCACCCACCTAGCTTGGTGGGAGGCGCTCTTGGGCTGCCAGGGCTGGAGAAATCGCATAGCTGACTGGCAGGTGGGAGGGCTGCGGCTGCGCCAGCTGGCCGGGGCCAGAGGAACTGCCTGGCAGGCGGGTGTGTGGGTGGCTGCACCCCCAGGGCAAGCAGGCAGGCAGCTGCTCCAACAGGCCGGGACTGGAGAAACCACATAGCTGGCAGGTGGGAGGCTGCTCTGGGATGGAGGAACCTTTTGGTGGGTGGGCAATCGGCAAATTAACATGTGACAGCTTAAAATTAATTGCCATAATGAATATGCAAATATGCAAATTCATTATTTACCATAATGAATATAAAAACCTGTCTGCCAAAAGTTTTTTAATGAGTTTGACAGTCCGTGGTATAAAAAAGGTTGAAAACCACTGTGCTAGGTCCTTGGACGTGCATCTCTTTATTAAATAAATGAATAAATAACTCTTTTTTAAATAATCAATAAATAATGAATGACATTTACTGACTTTATCGGATTGCAGCATCATAGTTCTCAGACTAGTGTGTAGGAAGCCCTGGTATTGCAGAGCATCATGAAGGGCAAGACCCAACTTTTGAATGTTGGAAGGGATAAGGGCCCCTAAAAACATCTCTTGCAAAATGGGCTACAGAGTGAGGGTATGTTGACACTATCCCCTCGTTCGCACTAGGGAAGCTAATGTAGGCATTCAAACTTGCAAATCAAGCCTGGGATTTAAATATCCCATGCTTGATTTGCATCTTCCTGGCTGGTTGCCATTTCCTTGCAGGAGGACTAACAGGTGGTTCGATTTAGGGCTTTAATTCGAAATACCGGGTCCCTGCTGCGTGTAGACGTGGGCAGTTAGTCTGGACTTGTAAATTTCAAAAATGGCAACTGGTCGGGAAGATGCAAATCAAGCACGGGATATTTAAATCCCAGGCTTGATTTGCAGCTTTGAATGCCTATATTAGCCTCCCTAGTTCGAACTAGGGGGCTAGTGTAGACCCTAAGATAGCTGGAGAACCACTCATGTAGTTTTAATTCTGGACTTGACGCCTCTGACCAGTACTTATTAGAGAGGCTTTGTGGCAGGGGATACTTTGACATTCGGTCTTGTTCAGATTAGGAACAAAATCCACAGACTTCCAATTCTGAATCAGAATAGAGCCACACACACAAAAGTGATAATTGTCTTTGATTTACATAACCTGCTCCTGCCCTTGGGGATTTGTTACTCCAGGAGTGGGCAATATTTTTTGAAGAGGGGAGAGGGGGCTCTCCAGGTGGTTGAGGGCCGCACTGTTCCACGATATTGATGGAGGAAGTGCAGAGTCTGGGATGGAGGGTGGGCGCAGAAGGGAGCTTGGGGAAAGGGATTCATGTGCAGGAGGGCCTGTGAGGTCTGGGAGGAAGTATGGGTGAAGGAGGCAGTTGTGACCTAGGGCAGGGGATTGGAGTGCAGTGGTTTAGGTTGTGACCTAGGGCAGGAGGGGATTATGATCTGGGGCAGGGGATTGAGGTGCAGGGCCTGGGAGGGCGTATGGGTTTAGTAGGGGGCAGAGGGTTTGGGTTATGTCGGGTAGGGGGCAGAGGATTGGGGGGGAGAAGGGGCTGGGATGGCAGAGGCAGGCTCTGGCAGGGAGACTTACCAGTGAGAGTCCCAGCCAGCAGCCCAGCATGTTTCTGAGGCAGGAGCCTGCCCCACCCCTGCACAGGCTGCAGGGCCATGTGCTCTGTGAATAAGAGCCTAATGGAAGGAGGGAAGGGTGCTTCACATGTTGCCTGTTCTTGAAATGGGCAGCTTCCATTGGCCAGTTTCTGGGTGCAGGGGCAGCTTGTGAAGCACCATTCCCCACTGTTCACAGTTTGTGATAAACAAATGGTCCAGCAAATGCTTTTCTGAGCAGCTCATGGGGACAGGGCAAGCCGGGGAGTCTGACTGAGGCTCCCTGCTGCATCCACAGGTCGGATCCAATAGCTTGGCGGGCCAGCCCCAGCCCATGGAGGGTTAAAAAACCCAGGCCTGTGTTACTCACTGAGCAGTACATTGTCTTGCAGAGGGGACTATTTCTCTAGTATCATAGCAGAGTGGGATAGCTAAGCACCTGCTGCTAAACCTTCTTCATCCTCCATCCCCCCAGCAAGCAAAACATTGATTCCCGCTGGAAAAAATAAGACTTTTTTAAACATGACCTCCCAGCTGGAAAGGGGTGGTTTACCCTGATCCTGAGGCATTCCCATACACATGCTAAACTAGATCCCAGCCACATGGCCCATGCAGCTGGAAGGTACTGTATGGGCACAGCTCCATAAGCTTGGATTAATGATATAAATAGCTGCAGTGTTTCAGCGACTGTCACTCCTATAAATATCTGTATAGGTATTTATGGGCATATATTTATGCCTGCCTCTGCAATTTCCACTCCAGGCATGAGATGAAATGGATCTTTGCATACAAAATCTTATGCCCTAATAAATCTGTTAGTCTTTAAGGTGCCATGGGATTCCTCATTATTTTTCCTATAAATACCTGTTATCCTCAGCCCCTTTTGTCCATGGAGTCCAATTTTTTTAGCTGACCCATTGGTTCTTGGACTCTGCTCTGTTTGACAATGTCTATTTTAAGAAAGGTGCATTCTACCAAGCGTATTGATTTTTTGTTTTAATGTAGAAGGTCATCTGGACCACAGAAATAGAGTGACACGGGAAACTTACAGACCTCTGTGCAGACAGTGAGATTCAGGGGAAGCCAGGAACCAATGGCAGGGCAGTCAAATTATTCAAAGGCTACAGAAGGCAGCATGGACGTGTGCCCTGAGCTTCCCCCAGCACAGTGCAGCTTCTTTCCTCTGGACCCGCAATGACTTCTCTGTGCAGGAGGAAGAGCAAGGAGCTGAGGAGCTGTGGCTTAGGCAGAAGAGATGCTTATCCCTGCCTTGGCCATGAGCCACAGAAATTGCCCCGAAAAGGGAGCATAAAGTAGGGCTTTATTACTTGCCCACCGAGAGCCTTGTATTATAAGAATAACTTGTAAAGGGAATCCCAGAGGGAACCATAATAGGGGGTGGATTATATGTAGTCCAAGTGCAGTCTCCTCAGAGCTGTGCTGTCAGGGTCTCTAGGGCAATGCTGAGACACCAATACACAGATGGCTTTCCCTGAGAACAAATGGGGATTGGCCCCTGAACATCAGGACTCTCTAAGGCGCCATCTGTCCCATAAATAGGAATCGGGATACAATATTGCTTACTTGCACTATTGTGGAAGATAGGTGTGCTCTGTTAACCCCTAATCCTCTGTTTCTGAGCATCCCCCATTTCCACAGGTGCTACACTGAGAGGTACTTCCACACCCACAGCTTGAAGTGGTTTCCCTCATATACGAGGTTTACAGTTTGGTTCAATGGTTCTCAGCATCCATCAATTTCCATAGACCCCAGTAAACTGGAGACTGAGGCCCACCCCATCTAGTTATGGAAACTGATTTGTTAAAGACCCTGAAAGTAGCAGCAGAAGTGCCGTTTTTCTGTGGGTGGTTGAGAGTAAGGTATGCGAAGCACATGCCGTGCTCTGGGGGGAGAGGGGGAGGGAGAAAGGGGTTCCCTGCACCCCACCCAGAGTTCTGTTGTATGGTGAGCTTGGCAGAGTGTGATGAGACCAGTGAATCAACAGGTGCACTGGCAAACCCAAGATGGGCCTGGACTAGTGGTGGGCACTGAGCAGTTCTTTAATCAGGTAAGGAATTCCATGTCTTCCAGACTCCTGTAAAACTCCTTTGTACACAGCTGACTTACACGGCTAAGCATAGGATCTGTGCAGCAAAAAAGACATGGATATAAGATCTGGCTTTCTTTCTTTCCAGGGTGCTTTATAACCTTATGAAAATTATCAATGCATTTGATGTTTGTTTCATTTGACCAAGGCAGACTCATGAAGTCAAACCACCAAGAACAGTTTTTTTTTTCCTCTTTTGATAATTATTTGTAGTTTGTAAATTCTCTTTAGTAATTTCCTGGATCCTAAAAGTAATCTTTGATGAATTACTAGGTCAGTAATTCAGCTACAGCTCAAATAAGTGAACTCACTTGGTGTAAGTTTGAAAATACTTTATTTAAACATATTCCATATCCAAAATTAATATAGCTAACTTAGAAAATACAAAAATAGTTTCCAGAGTGCTGTACAACATTGCCAAGAGACAGCAGCAACACAAAAAGCCAGATAGGTGTGTTCTTTACACCTTCCTCAATTAACAACTTCTGGGACCAGGCATTTACAAACTAACATTTACTCTGTGTGTGTTACTTCTCTGAGAGATTTGCTGGTATTATGTGCATTTAATGAAGCAACAGCTTATTCCTGGTATATATGAAAGGACTGTGCACATCAACTTGCAATTACAGTAAAGTGGCCTCTTTGGGCCTCATTCTGCACATTGTGCTGTGTCAATGAAGTTTTGCCCCACTAAGCAAAGCACAGTCAAGCCTTATATGGAAAACACAATCAATCCTGACCCTGTAATCTCTCTCCCTTTAAAGTCCATACAGGGGTCTTACAGGATCAGGGCTATTAGTTAAATGATAACAGCTCTTGTTCCACAGTGATCTAGAAATCTATCGTAAACATTTTCTTTCTCTTTCAAGAACAATTAGTGGAATGCCTTTTCTGATTTACAGAGCAAGTTTTCTTAAATACTATGTGAGATTGGGAATCCATACAATATGTAATGAAAAGCTTCCCATAGTAGTATATTCAATTCCATTGAGCAGGAGGAATTTGAAGCCTCATACATGGGCAGATTATTAATCAATTCTCACAAACCAATGATAATTCCTTTTTATAAATGGGTTTTAGTATCCCTGAAGAGGTCTCTAAGAATGCAACACTGTTATCTTTCGGCTTTCTAGCCTTTTAAAGAGTGTGCACTCAAGATGAGTAAAAGGAAAAGAAGTCTTGCTAAGACAGAAACACAGGTGTCCTGCATCCTAAGCTACACAGCACACCTGTGTATCTATATATGCCTATAGAGCATGGTGGTGATGTGCCTTGCTAAAAAAGATAACTGTTCAGCAGTCCTTTAGACCATTCTTTTGTAACAAACCAGCATTCTGCAATTAGAAATTAGGTGCATGAGACATTTGCAGCATAGCTTTCAATGGACGTTTGCATCACAAAAAACCCATACAGCTGTGCCACAAAACTGCCTGCAACAGCAACAACTTATCTGTGTTCTATAGTATTAGCAATATATATCGAGTAACATTTGGAGAAGATACACAAACAAAAGGCATGCCAATATGGCCACCAGGAATATAGCTGAAGGATGAGAACTCTCTTCAAACACTTGCCAGATATTTACATAGTGAAATGATTGCGGCTTTGCCCTCACTATTCCAAGCGATGAGGCTTCTCCCCAGGGATGGGCCTGTTTCCCTTGGTTGCACTTAAATTCAACCTTTTAACTAGGCAGATATGTTGGCAACGTTGATTATCCCAAACCATGAACTTGCTGACTTCTCCTTTCCCAAACTGACCCACTGAGTTTGGTGACTCTGTCAGTCCTGGAGACCACCGCAAGGGAAAATGTCCATGTCAAATGCCTTACTTCGCAAAGAGGACAGGAATAACCTGTTGCAATGGTTTTGCTTAGGGCAATTTGTTAAGGTGGGTTTTTGTTTGCTTTCTTTAACAAAGAGCTGGCAATAGCCAGTGCCCCGCCCTGCACAAAACGCACAAAATTATCCCCAGCTAATGGCCCTATTGCATAAAGCCCTTTTTCCTGAACACATTCATAGGTGAATGGGTTGACATTGATGGGGTTCCTTTTGGAGTTGACTGGTTGCTCATTGTCAATTGCCAAATCAGTGCCATTGTTTGGAAGGAAGGAGAGGTTAGGATTTGAGCCAATGAGAACAAAAGCCAGGGAAATGTTAAAGACTTTCTGGTGACCATTCTTATCCTGAACAACACACTTCTTATTCCCTCTGAAAGACAGGACATGATGTTCAGGAAGGCTGATGTAACATTCGTATGGCCCAGCACAAGCAACTGACTGTTCTTTCATCATCTGGTGGACTTTGTGGTACTCTGGATACATCATTTGGGGGAGCTGATTGAAGATGAGGCCGGGATCATTGACCCTTCTACGAAAAACATGGATCACTGGAATGCTGAAATGATGTGCGAAAAGAATCGCATCGGCAGCTGTCAGCCCAGCACCTACAATCAAGATTGGATCTGATGTCATGCTAATCCTCTTGTTCTTCACTGCTTCTTCAAGGGCAGAGAGTTTGTGGTGGACAAAAGGAAGGTCTTCTCCATGAACCTTAAGCTTGGTTGGACTATCATATGTTCCTGTGGCTAAAACCACATTCTCTGCATAGATGGAGAAGGGTTGCTGACCATCACTCATATTTTTGATAAAGCCATCTACTTGGAAGAGATTTCCACTAGCAAACTGGTCATCTTCCTTCTCTTTTTCAGGGAAAAAGGAGTCATTGTTCCTCTCAGGATACTGCTGTGCACAGCTGGAGTTTGACTCTGGGCTCACTTTCCTCACAGATGTCACAACAGTCCCACAGATAAAATTCTTCTGTAGTCCTTTCTTTGCCACATAATGTAGATAATATTGAGCAATATCTTCTGCTGTGGCTCTGTTATTCCTGAGGCCCCTGTAATGGGATATTATAAATGATGAAAGTGGGCAGCTTCTCCCTCCATTGTGGCATGTATTGAAGGGCTGTCTACCCTTACACTAATGGAGAAACTGGGTCACATTCTCATCTCATTCGTTTTATACCAGTGTAATTCAATTGCTTTCCATGGAATTATCCTAATACATGCCTGAACAGTCAGGCTCACTATAAGAAATAATTGGGAGAGGCAATATGAAGTGATATGAAAACCTTCACAAACTGATATGAAAACCTTCACAAATTTTAGTAGTATATTTACTCCTTCCCTATCCTCCCCATCTCTTCCATTTTTTTTATCATGGGCTTTTTCCAGGCTTAGAATATAAATTCTATAAACCTAACAAAATCAAAAGGAGTGTAAGTATGTGTATTCTAACATCTGAATGTTTACACTGCATATTCTTTTCCACTGTGTATCTGCTGGATTAGAATACTTGAGAATGTGCAAATATATAAATGGGCTACCCTATCCAAACATTTATTGCTAATTCAGATTTTAAATCATAGAATCATAGGACTGGAAGGGACCTCGAGAGGTCATCGAGTCCAGCCCCCCGCCCTCAAGTCAGGACCAAGCTCCGTCTACACCATCCCTGACGGATGTCTATCTAACCTGTTCTTAAATATCTCCAGAGAGGGAGATTCCACCACCTCCCTTGGCAATTTATTCCAATATTTGACCATATAAGTGCTGGCAATATTCTGATCTGTTATCTACAGGGTATATTCAGAACTAACTCCTCTGCAGTCCATAGAGCTACTCTACATTTATACTACCTGCACCAAATAAATATTTCTTGGTGATTTCTTACAGTTACTGAAACTGGCAATAATAGGTAGTAGCTAGCTGGACTTCCTGCCATTTAGCCATAGGATTTCTGGACAATTTGGAAACAAGTAATCTCACATTAGTCTCCTCACCTTCTCTTTTTCCTCAGCCAGTCTTTGAATGGAAGGTCTGGAAGCCCCATCCATTCCCCTTGGCTCAGAGTAATCATAGAGCCCTCAATAAACTGAAAAAAAGAACAGTAAACAAGTTAAGCAACTGACAATGAAAGGAATTAAGCACTAATGGAAATGATCTCATGTGTTAAGATTTCTGTTCAGTTCCAGTAAATCTCACTTTAATGTAACCAAGGGGCCTCAGTGTATCCAGATAGTGGGATGGAACAAACAACAGGAGTGAGCGAGGAAGGCAAATCTCTCCTGCACATTCAAGCCAGCTCATTTTTTGGTGCAGAGCCCTGCAGGATACCACTTGTCTGGCTCATATGTTTGTTCAGACCTTTACGCCTTTAATCCTCACACTGACTATTCAGTCACACACCTTTCATAAGCTTAGGCATTCATGTCTACTTACATGCCACGCGCCCCCAGGAGGGTTTCTGCCAAGGACCAGATGGGGAATGGCCCTGTTGGTCTCATTCCACCAAGTGAGGACAGAGTCTACAGTTCCACCAAAGTCTGTATCTGGACGCTGCAGAGTATCAAAAAGAAGAGCCACAGGGCTCTGGGATCGTCCCTCCAAACCTTCAGACAGGTACTCCAGATCCTAAGAGACAGAGCAGGTACTTAGGGCCTGCATCGTGTAACACAGGAGATCACTTCAAAATGCACCAGTAACGTAACATCATTAGATGCTTAGCAGAGTTGAACTTTACTTGCTAGAGCCTGGCCTATGTGCCACATAAGCCTTGTTTGGGGGGATTGAGCAGTGCACAGCCTTGTGCTGGCCCTATATAAAACCAACGATTTGGGAAACAAATTACCACAGGCTTGTAGCTCCTGTTGCCAGCATGCTGTGACTGCTACCACCACAAGCTCAGTCTACTTCTTCCCGTTAAAGGGCAAATTCATTTGATACAAACCTGGTCTATAATGGAGACCTCTGGCGTTTCCTCTAGTTTCCTGTGTAGAATAGGGTGAGGATGAATGGAGCCCTTTTTGATATAAGGAACATAACCAGACAGCAGGTAGGAAAGGCAAATTCCTGAAGGACCATTCCCTAAACAAACAGAAATAAAATTGCATCACAGTGGTTGGAACAATAATTGTTTGTAAAGCATCTAATCAGATATGAACGATGGGCCAGTGACCAAGTCAGCCACAGCTGTGCTGAATGGCTTTGGGCAAATCACTTCACTCCTCTGTGTCTCTCATATCTATTTGTATTGTAGGCTGCTCAGAGAAGGGGATGTTTCTTACAAGGACTACCTACATTTCCCTGGTCCCAGCTGCGACCTCTTAGCACTACTGACACGCTAAGCTAGTGCTTTGTCAGACACTAGCCAAAGAGCCGGCTGATGTTTGGAAGGATGGTGTTCCTGGTTTGGGAATTAAACTGGCTCTTGGGTTTTGAGGGGATGACTACACTGCGTTCAGAGCTGTGGGACCCGCGCATATGCATTCAGTGTTTCCAAGCACGTGTGTGAGCACTCACACAGCATTGGACGCCTGGGTTTACAATTGCTGGATCCAGATCTCACAGTGTCCTTACTGCACTATGAAGGTCTTCTGATGCAGGCCCACAGCTTGACTTTAGTCCCACTCCAAAATGACAGGCCCCAGCCACAGCAGGACCCATGCTCTGACCTATCCCCCCACCTGCATCCTCAATGCTTGCTGACTCAAGTCAGAGTGATTTGTGTATGAATGGAAGAGGGGTTTAGATCAAACCGCAGAAGACTCAAGGCTTCATTCTTTCTTAGCTAAATGGAGCTTGCATCCCTTCACAATCTTGAAGGAAAATCAGACACTGCTATGATGTTCATTCACAGGATGGCGCTAGTTATGAGATCTGGAGTGTTGATGCTATGCATCAGAAGGCAGATCAAGTTCTTCTCAATATCCAGTGTTCAATGCCATTGTCTCTAGGCATTCTGAACCAAGTGAGTTATTAGCAAAAGATGAAAAATGTTTACTGCTCACTTTAAGGCATTTGCTGGAAAGTACCAGGTAGTGCCCAGGAATTCAGATGTAGACTGATCCCAGTACCACTACATGACAGGGTGATCCAGAAGATCTAGAAGGAGGGTGCAACAGAGGAAGCCTCCTGATTCATACCGAGAAAGTAGGACAATTCGTTATTTTAGGTAGCTGTGCACAAAGGCAAGAAGCCTGGGAAACAAACAGGGAGAACTGGAAGTCCTGGCACAGTCAATGAACTATGATGTGATTGGAACAACAGAGACATGTTTAGGTAAGTCGCATGACTGGAGCACTGTCATGTCAAGGTGTAAACTGTTCAGAAAGACAGGCAGGGGAGAAAGGGTGCATCTACACTACAGAGAATATCAAAGCTGCTGCTGTCGATCTTCCAGGGTTCAAATTAGCGGGTCTAGTGAAGACACACTAATTTGAACTGAGAGGAGCTCTTGGGTCGATGCCAGTAACCCTGCTTCTACAAGGAGTTAGGCAAGTGGCAATAATAGGTAGTAGCTAGCTGGACTTCCTGCCATTTAGCCATAGGATTTCTGGACAATTTGGAAACAAGTAATCTCACATTAGTCTCCTCACCTTCTCTTTTTCCTCAGCCAGTCTTTGAATGGAAGGTCTGGAAGCCCCATCCATTCCCCTTGGCTCAGAGTAATCATAGAGCCCTCAATAAACTGAAAAAAAGAACAGTAAACAAGTTAAGCAACTGACAATGAAAGGAATTAAGCACTAATGGAAATGATCTCATGTGTTAAGATTTCTGTTCAGTTCCAGTAAATCTCACTTTAATGTAACCAAGGGGCCTCAGTGTATCCAGATAGTGGGATGGAACAAACAACAGGAGTGAGCGAGGAAGGCAAATCTCTCCTGCACATTCAAGCCAGCTCATTTTTTGGTGCAGAGCCCTGCAGGATACCACTTGTCTGGCTCATATGTTTGTTCAGACCTTTACGCCTTTAATCCTCACACTGACTATTCAGTCACACACCTTTCATAAGCTTAGGCATTCATGTCTACTTACATGCCACGCGCCCCCAGGAGGGTTTCTGCCAAGGACCAGATGGGGAATGGCCCTGTTGGTCTCATTCCACCAAGTGAGGACAGAGTCTACAGTTCCACCAAAGTCTGTATCTGGACGCTGCAGAGTATCAAAAAGAAGAGCCACAGGGCTCTGGGATCGTCCCTCCAAACCTTCAGACAGGTACTCCAGATCCTAAGAGACAGAGCAGGTACTTAGGGCCTGCATCGTGTAACACAGGAGATCACTTCAAAATGCACCAGTAACGTAACATCATTAGATGCTTAGCAGAGTTGAACTTTACTTGCTAGAGCCTGGCCTATGTGCCACATAAGCCTTGTTTGGGGGGATTGAGCAGTGCACAGCCTTGTGCTGGCCCTATATAAAACCAACGATTTGGGAAACAAATTACCACAGGCTTGTAGCTCCTGTTGCCAGCATGCTGTGACTGCTACCACCACAAGCTCAGTCTACTTCTTCCCGTTAAAGGGCAAATTCATTTGATACAAACCTGGTCTATAATGGAGACCTCTGGCGTTTCCTCTAGTTTCCTGTGTAGAATAGGGTGAGGATGAATGGAGCCCTTTTTGATATAAGGAACATAACCAGACAGCAGGTAGGAAAGGCAAATTCCTGAAGGACCATTCCCTAAACAAACAGAAATAAAATTGCATCACAGTGGTTGGAACAATAATTGTTTGTAAAGCATCTAATCAGATATGAACGATGGGCCAGTGACCAAGTCAGCCACAGCTGTGCTGAATGGCTTTGGGCAAATCACTTCACTCCTCTGTGTCTCTCATATCTATTTGTATTGTAGGCTGCTCAGAGAAGGGGATGTTTCTTACAAGGACTACCTACATTTCCCTGGTCCCAGCTGCGACCTCTTAGCACTACTGACACGCTAAGCTAGTGCTTTGTCAGACACTAGCCAAAGAGCCGGCTGATGTTTGGAAGGATGGTGTTCCTGGTTTGGGAATTAAACTGGCTCTTGGGTTTTGAGGGGATGACTACACTGCGTTCAGAGCTGTGGGACCCGCGCATATGCATTCAGTGTTTCCAAGCACGTGTGTGAGCACTCACACAGCATTGGACGCCTGGGTTTACAATTGCTGGATCCAGATCTCACAGTGTCCTTACTGCACTATGAAGGTCTTCTGATGCAGGCCCACAGCTTGACTTTAGTCCCACTCCAAAATGACAGGCCCCAGCCACAGCAGGACCCATGCTCTGACCTATCCCCCCACCTGCATCCTCAATGCTTGCTGACTCAAGTCAGAGTGATTTGTGTATGAATGGAAGAGGGGTTTAGATCAAACCGCAGAAGACTCAAGGCTTCATTCTTTCTTAGCTAAATGGAGCTTGCATCCCTTCACAATCTTGAAGGAAAATCAGACACTGCTATGATGTTCATTCACAGGATGGCGCTAGTTATGAGATCTGGAGTGTTGATGCTATGCATCAGAAGGCAGATCAAGTTCTTCTCAATATCCAGTGTTCAATGCCATTGTCTCTAGGCATTCTGAACCAAGTGAGTTATTAGCAAAAGATGAAAAATGTTTACTGCTCACTTTAAGGCATTTGCTGGAAAGTACCAGGTAGTGCCCAGGAATTCAGATGTAGACTGATCCCAGTACCACTACATGACAGGGTGATCCAGAAGATCTAGAAGGAGGGTGCAACAGAGGAAGCCTCCTGATTCATACCGAGAAAGTAGGACAATTCGTTATTTTAGGTAGCTGTGCACAAAGGCAAGAAGCCTGGGAAACAAACAGGGAGAACTGGAAGTCCTGGCACAGTCAATGAACTATGATGTGATTGGAACAACAGAGACATGTTTAGGTAAGTCGCATGACTGGAGCACTGTCATGTCAAGGTGTAAACTGTTCAGAAAGACAGGCAGGGGAGAAAGGGTGCATCTACACTACAGAGAATATCAAAGCTGCTGCTGTCGATCTTCCAGGGTTCAAATTAGCGGGTCTAGTGAAGACACACTAATTTGAACTGAGAGGAGCTCTTGGGTCGATGCCAGTAACCCTGCTTCTACAAGGAGTTAGGCAAGGTCGAAGGGAGAGTGTTCTCCCTTTGACTTTCTGCAGTGTGAACAACACCAAAAGACAAGTTAAGGTACTTTAACTTCAGCTACACAATTAACGTAGCTGAAATGACATATTTTAATTCAACCTCATCCCATAGTGCAGACGTACCCAAAAAGTGTAGCAGTTATACTATATATAAGAGAGCAGTATTATTGCTCAGATCTCCAATATGAAACTGTAGAAAAGCCTATTGACAGACTCTGGTTCAAGATAAGAGGCAAGAACAATAAGAGTGATGGCATGGAAGAGACCACCAGACCAGTAGGATGAGGTTGATGAGGCTTTCTTCGGCCAACTAACAGAAGTTTCCAGATCATGGGCTGATTTTGTTCACCATCTGCATTGCTAATCTGGATGAGGGGATGGATTGCACCCTCAAAAAGTTCACATATGACATTAAGATAGAAGGAGAGGGAGATATACTGGAGGATAGGGATAGGGTCCAGAATGACCTAGACAAATTGGAGGATTGGGCAAAAAGAAATCTGATGAGGTTCAACAAGGACAAGTGCAGAGTCCTGCACTTAGGATGGAAGAATCCCAAGCACTGCTACAGGCTGGGGACCAACTTGCTAGGCAGCAGTTGTGCAATAAAGGACCTGGGGATTACAATAGATGAAAAGATGGATATGAGTCAGCGTGCCCTTGTTGCCAAGAAGGCGAACGGTATCTTGAGCTGCATCAGGAGGAACACTGCCAGCAGATTGAGGGAAGTGATTATTTCCCTCTGTTTGGCACTGATGAGGCCACATATGGAATACTGCATCCAGTTTTGGGCCTTTCACTACAGAAAGGATGTGGACAAATTGGATAGAGTCTAGCAGAGGGCAACAAAAATGATTAAGGGACTGGAGTGCATGGACCATGCAGGGGGCTGGATTCAATGACCTCCTGAGGTCTCTTCTGGCCCTAGGATTCTATGATTCATGAAGGGAGGCTGAGGTAAATGGTCTTAGTCTACAGAAAAGTGAGGAGAGATTTGGCAGCAGCCTTCAACTACCTGAAAGAGGATTCCAAAGAGGATTGATCCAGGCTGTTCTCAGTGGTGGCAAATGATAGAACGAGGAGGAATGGTCTCAAGTTGCAGTGGGGAAAGTCTAGGTTGGATATTAGGAGAAACTATTTCACGAGAAGGGTGGTGAAGCACGGGAGTGGGTTAGCGAAGGAAGTGTTGGAATCTCCATCCCTAGAGATTTTTAAGTTCTTCCTTGACAAAGCCCTGATAATTTAGTTGGGGTTGAGTGAGAATTAAACTAGATGATCTCCTGAGGTCTCTTCCAACCCTAATATACTATGATTTTAGTATATTAGTATATTATGAAGCAGGAGGCGGGTACACAATGTGTCATATGCCAATTTTCAAGTCACTTGGCTATTGGTCACTGGTTTTGCAGAAGATCCAGTTCAGAATAAGGCAAAAAAACTGGACACGTTTCCCAAATGTATTAAATGTGGATGCGCTCTAATCTGTTAACTGATTTAACTGAAGCCAACAGATTTGCTACTGATTACACTAGGTCTCCAATCAGCCCTATAGGTTAATTCCCTCCCTTCTTTGTTTTCTCTCCTTCTATTCACTCTGTCCAAGAGCTCTGTCCCCTGCATCAAACTTCAATACGACACTTTGAACAAATAGCGGGATGGCTAAAATGTTCCTACTGACCACCCCGCAGCCAGATTTAGAAGCTAATATAAATACTCTGCGTCAGTATACAGTGGAATAGTGGGTGGAAAGTTTTCATATGGCTGTTTTCCAGGATGTTTCATATTTTACAGTGTCTTTATAAATTATCTGTCCACCTCTTCAGCGCAAAGCTTTGTTGCTCTTTAGAATATGACTAACCACCATAATGCAGTCAGGGTGATACAGTAACCTGTAACATTCTCTGTGCCATTTCATAGCATTGTTGACATAATCCCTGCTCTGGAAGCAATGAACTGCTGGGAGCAAAGGCCACTTCTCAGTTCTAGTCCTAACATTGTTCTCACTTAGATTAGAGAAAAAGCAAAGTGCAAAGAGTGATGGAAATTTAAAACACACACACACAATAATTAACTTGAAACAGAACCAGGCTATAAGTCATCCTTAACTTACTCTTTTGCTGTTGGTCTTATGTCAGAGTCCCTGAGCAGTATTTAAACATCTGGTTACATGAGGCTGAGTTATGGACAAAGCTGCGGATATAAATATGCATCTTTAAGTCCCATAAAGTAGGCCAAATACATTCCTGCCTTTGTGTCCCTTTGTGCCACTCTAGTGGCACAAGGATCCAGAGAGCAGCTGGATCTGATCAGCTGATTGCTATGACATGAGGGAACTCTAAGCGGTTACAGAACCACTGTAACCAGCATTGTCCAGCTCGCAATGTTCAGAAAACCAGAGCCTCCTTCTCCTGTTCAGAGAGGGTTTCTGCACTGTGTGACCTGAAGTTAAATTTGTTTTGCAATTGGACCCTTTTAAAAGGAGTACCAAGAAAAACAAGCTTCCCAATTGTTTAAAAATGCCCCTCGGGACTCAGCCCACTGAGACAAGTGTCCATATCACAAAGCTACTGTGAACAATGATTAAATGACACTTTTGTGGTGCATAAACCTTCTACTGCCTCACTTGAGGATGGTTAATTTCACCCTGGTTTAGATGGCGGGCACAGAACAAGCAAAGCCTTGAAGCACACTGACTCCCAAGAGAGTCAATGGGGCTCATGTCTTAATTTAGCAAGGCATGTAAGCACAAGCTGAAGTGAAAAGGGAACGATTCCTTTATGCCAGAGAAGTGTCTGACCTGTGACAGCTAATGACTTCCAGAACACAACTGATATGAAAACTAAGCATGACTCCCTAACCTCAAGATGACATTTGAAAACAAGAAGCTCATCCTGATTCATGCACCACTCATCAAACTAATGCGTAAAAGTGTAAAGAGGAGCCTAACTTTGGCATTCCTACAAACAGCTGCTTAGAAATTACATTTATTAAAATATTTTTCACTGTGTAATCCTGATCCAAAGCCCATTGTAGTCCATGGAAAGAGTCTCAGACTTCAGTAGCTTTGGAGCAGGCCCTACATAAAATACTTTCAAATCCTTCCAAAATACCCATGTGGCAAAATAGAATCAATTGAATGTTCTAAAAGTCGGCCATGTCTGTTTTAAAATATCCATAATCTTAAATCAGATTACATGTTCTTGAGTGTAGTGAAAACTGAAGGAAATAATTCCCAGGACATTTCTAGATTTAATTGCAACTTTTGGAACAATGCAGGAAGGTATCAGATACAGTATGTCTTGGAATACAGCATTGGAGAACAGGGATTACATCGCCAAAATAATATTTACCTATTATAACAATGGGAAGTGGTTTCGAATCACTTTTATTTGGGAGCTTGTTCAACACTGGATACATCTTCCCATTTAAAAGGATTCCGGGTGAGAAATGTACCTGTAATGACAAAAAAAGGCAATCATTACCAATGCTCTTTTGATAACAAATACTCTCTCCTCTTCATAGCTGTCTGTGGTAGCTGATCTAAAATATGATCACTCATTTTACATACAATAGAGCTCAATTTCAGCTCCCATAAAGTATAGAGGTAAATAAAAGGGGTCCTTGCTTTAGTTCTTCTTGGCTATTTTTGGTCCACATAATGTAAGTGTCAGCCTCTACTCAAGACAGGCCAAGGACTCTAATGACAGAGAATGTTATGGATGAGTTGTAGAAAAGCCTTCCTTTCTCTTATCAGCATTTAGATCATGGGCAAAGTTCTTGTTTCAATGACTTCCGGGACCACTGGATAATTTCAAGCTGTTGTGCTAATACAAAGCATGCCTTCAATGAGATTCTTTGACACTTGTCTTTTTAGGAAAAAAAATACACAGTCGATGAGCATTGGCATTTGCATCTCAGTCTAAACTTCTGCTTAAAATCTTGAAAGCTATTGGCATCATTTAAAAAAAATGCCTCACACAATTCTAAAGTAATCTGAGCCGCTACAGCTCCATTCCCCTGGATGCCCGGCCCTTCCAAAAGAAATATTCCTTGGCCTCTTGCAATGACGTGTTCCTGTCATATTCAGGGAGTGGAAGCCAATTATGTTCATCTGTTAACATGACATGGGCCCTTAACAAGACATGCATATGTAGCGTTCTGACTGAGATCTTGTTAAGGCGATGAGTCACAAACCTCTCATCTGAAACATTCCAATCTTCTAGTGACTGAGCAGGGGAACAGGATGAGACTTGTTGGTAAACTTTTATGTGGTCCTGCCACTCTTGCCAAGTTCAACTGAGCAGCTACACAATGACCAGGCAATTGCATCAAGCAGGTGTGAGCTAAGCATGGCTAACTTGTATCTTGAAACTGCAATGACTTTCCTCACTCAAATAAATCAATCCAAAGTTGTTTGAAAGAATTTGTATTAGTCATCTGAACTTTCAGTGCCGCTGAGACCAAAATGGGTCTCAAATAGGGTTGCCAGATGGTTTAACCAAAAATACCAAACACTCTCTGCCCCCCCTCCCCCCAAAAAAAAAACACCAGGAAAAAAATTCTGTTGAGAAAAAAAAAGGGGGGAGACCAAAGTTGTTGAACAAAAAAAGAAAGAAAAAAAGGACCCCGACAGCAGTTATTAAGTAAAAATAAATACATAAATACATAAATAAATAAAAGAATAAAAAATCACCATGGCCCCTTTAAGAAGAGGCTTTTTTGCCTGCAGCCATCTTGTTTTTCTGCTCCAGCCACAGGACAGCTCCCCTGTGGAACCAGGTAAGCGGGGGCCTGGCAGGAGGTCCGGGTAGGTGCCCAGGGCCTGGGCCTGGCT